TGCTGTTGGGCAGGATGGCAGTCATCCAAGGGGTGACCACAAAGGAGTTGTACCCTGAATTTGAACTGGACGTTAACAGTGCAGTGTGACATTGCAGCCCCCTAGACTGTCAACGTCAAGGTCCCAAATGGTGCAAAACACAAGTATTGTAGGACAAGAAAATTGGCTTCCAGGTGGAAAAATCAAAATTAGAAACAGAACTGTTAGAACCCAAAACTAAGATTTTGTCAAAGATGTATAACTTGCTGTTGAAATGGAATACTCAGGATGAAATGGTGAAATCTGCTATGATTAAATGGGCACAAGATGTTGGACATAACATAATGATGGCTGACTGAGAACAGTTATGGACCACAGGTATGAAGTTTACGGCATGCAATGCCTTAAGAGAGAATATTATGAAAATGATATACAGGTGGTACATGACCCCAGTCAAGCTTGCAAAAATCTATCATTTGCCCGATAATAAATGTTGGAAATGTAAAGAAACTGAAGGTACATTCTTTCACCTTTGGTGGACGTGCCAAAGGATTAAGGTTTTCTGGGAGATGATCTATAATGAAATGAAAAAGGTATTTAAATATACCTTCTTGAAGAAACCAGAGGCCTTTCTCCTGGGCATAGTCGGCCAATTGGTGCTAAAGAAGGATAGAACTTTCTTTATGTATGCCACAACAGCAGCAAGAATACTTATCGCAAAGTATTGGAAGACACAAGATCTACCCACTCTGGAAGAATGGCAGATGAAGGTGATGGACTACATGGAACTGGCGGAAGTGACTGGCAGAATCCGAGACCAGGGAGAAGAGTCGGTGGAAGAAGATTGGAAGAAATTTAAAGACTATTTACAGAAATATTGCAAAATTAATGAATGTTAGAATGATGTCAGAATGAAGTTAAGTGGTTTTAGCAGCAATGTCATAAAGGTGTATGTAAAAATGGATTGTTAATAGGTGAGAATCTAAAGCTATAATATATTAAGTTAAAGGACTAAGACAAAAACAAAGAGGGAAAGGAATTGCTGAATTAACCAATTGAACTGGAATACAAAAAAGGGAGGTGAGAGGAGGTCAGGGAAGCAAGGAAATGAAATGTAAGATATGGAAGGATTTGTTTTTAAGTGTTTTTTATTTTTTTTCCTGTACTTTGTATTTTGTATGTTTTTTCTCTTTTTTATTTTTTCCCTTGTTTCTTTTCTCTTTAACTATGTAAATATTAAAAAAAAACAACACACAAGTCTTGCAAGTGCAGGTTTTCCTGGAAGCACTTGATGCGGCCAGAGCTGGACTATAATGATGCAATTGCACCAGGGCCTGTGTCTGCAAGAAGCCCTCTTGCCTCTGCCAGCTCACTGTTGTTTTGCCTGCTTTATTATTATTATTATTATTATTATTATTATTATTATTATTTATACCCAGCCCATCTGGCTGGGTTTCCCCAGCCACTCTGGGCGGCTTCCAACAAAATATTAAAATACAGTAGTCCAACAAACATTAAAAGCTTTCCTAAAGCTTTGCTTCTCCAACAATGTGTGTTGTGGTATATGCATACATGTAATAAATTAATAAAATTTATTTCAATTTTTTTTTTAAATTGCAAAATTAGGCAAGCTCTCATTTAAATGAAAATTGAATCCAGTTTCTCCCCCCTCCCTACTCCTGGCTGAGGTGGGTGGGGATATTTCAGCACAATTGAAATAATAATAATAATAATAATAATAATAATAATAATTCATACACTGCCCATCTAGCTGGGTTTCCCCAGCCACTCTGGAAATCTTGCAGCATATCTAAAAACATAATAAAAAGCACCATAGGAAGCACCATAGGCGAGGCCTGGCTTTCTGAGTCACGATGTCTAATTCATGTCTACTGTCAAGAGAAGGAAGAGGCTGAGACAAAGAGATGCTAATTGGAGGATATGTAACTGATCTCTTTCAATTAGGAACTCTTAATTTGATGCCTTGCAGAAGCTTAACAATGTGAATAAAATGTATATTTGGTATTAGCCTAGTATTTACTGGACTTAAGAGAAAAGGGGTAGGAAACAACGGCCTGCGAAGAACCTATCCGTTTAAGTCCCTTCAGATTTCTCTAGCGCATTTCACTCCCATGTTTAGAAAAGGGTATAAAAATGTATAATGTGGAAAGAGAATGCCACAGTGCTTCAGTATCCTTTCATTTGAGTGTCATTCACCACTTCCCAGCACACAGGATCACATGTCTCATTTAATTGGCAAACTCCATTGTTAGAGAACACAGGCAAACACTCCAGTGCCTCACATCTCACCGAGAGCGTTCAGCCTCTCCTCCTTTCCACTGAGCCCAATGAATATTTATGCTTGGGGAAAACTGCATCCACCGCATCATCTTGCCACCAATCCCTTCCTTTAATGTTCTTCTTCTCTTTTTTTACTCACAAGATTTAGGAACTTCCTTACTGTCCTAGGTGACAAGGCATCTCAGTTAAAGGCCCTGTTAAGGATAAGCATCTGGCATAGCTTTTCCCAGTAGTGGTGTGTATGTTGGGTTGGAGCCGCCCTCCACAAACCAGTGCCTCTGCTGCTTAACTGGATAGGGCTGGGTCAGGGTGGTGGTGAGGTCGGCAGGCACATGGCCACATCAGCAGGAGAGCCAAAATGGCTTCCTGCAGATGCCTCTGTATGTCCCCGACTTCACCCTCACCTTTGCCTCATTCCTCATTCCTCATCCAGGTAGACAGCCGTGACTCTGGTGTCAGAAGGATGGCTTCACCACACCCAAACCCTCAAGCGTGCTGCTGCTGTTGCTATTAAAAAGAATAATAATGAATGTTCTCTCTAAGATGTGTAGACCAACGAATTAAACTCCTGCTGGAGATGGAGAAATCTTTAGTGAATTGCTGCATTGTACCTATGAAAGACTGAGGGCATTGTACCTGGGAAAGATTGAGGGCACTAGGAGAAGGGGACGACAGAGGACGAGATGGTTGGACAGTGTTCTCAAAGCTACAAACGTGATTTTGACCAAACTGCAGGAGGCAGTGGAAGACAGGAGTGCCTGGCGTGCTCTGGTCCATGGGGTCACAAAGAGTCAGGCATGACTACATGACTAAACAACAACAACAACAACCTGTGAACTTAACTTTTTAACTGCTTGATTCCACACAATTTTACTCATAAACAAGGCCCGCTGAGTTCAGTGGGATTGATTTCCCTCCTTGAGTAAGATTAGGATCATACTTCTCAGCAATGCTATTTGTCTAGAAATAAAGGTGCCAGAACTCAACATGAACGCCTCCTTTGTTCTCTTATAATGGCAATGGTGCCTGCCTGAGAGGTGCCAGAACTGAGTTCTTTTGAGTTCCGGCTGGAAAACAGCCCTGCTTCTGAGAATTGCCTAACCAGGTGGGGTAGTGTGCTGTGGGAAGTCTGTGGAACTCCCACAAGAAGTTAGATAGGCATCACCCCTGTTTCAGATGCCTGGAAAAAATTGCTTTATGTCAGGTGGCCTTTGTACCTGGAAAGGGAATGGCCCCAATTCCTATCCAGTTCAACACATCAGGCAAGGGATCCTCCAGTTCGTTTTGATCCAAGGTTGTTTTTGCTGGACCAATTGTCTAATGGGTAGGATGGCCTTTCATTGAATCTGAAATGCGGAAGACCACCCTTCTTTCTTTATTACTATTTATCTTGCCTGTTTTTGTCCAATGGAAAACAGTGAAGGAGTCGTCATATTCTCCAGCAAGCTATCTTGTATGCCCTAAAGGGAATATTATGAGATTAAACGCAGAGTAGCACTCCTGTAGCAAGGAGAATGTTTCTCATTATACAGATCCCCAGTTGCTCTCCTAAATATAATTCCCTGTAATAATGTGAAACTTCTGAATTATTTATTGTCTCATATTAGATCAGAAATATAATTTTCTGAAAATAAACTCATTGTCATCAGCAAATCAGCTTATGAAGGTTATCTATAACGGTGGAATGAAATATAGCAGATGCAGTACTATCTATTGTAGTGACTTCTTGGCTCCTAGGATGAAGCTTTTTAAATGGAAGATTTAAAAATTGATGAAGCCCAAGTCCTGTAATGAGAGGGTTTTCTACCATATCATCCTTCATCTTTACTGTTTTGTTCATTTGAATGAAAACTTTTGCCTCTTTTGCATCCTGCAGTTATGATTGATTGCGTATGCCACTGGGTTGAACTGCAGTAAGGTGTGCCTCACTTTAAGTAACAGACCACGTAGAATAGGGTATATTCATTTTGATGCTTGCATCTGAGAGTGTGCCATGGGCACCCAAAAGTAGATATTGGATAGAGGATGTGGTTAAGAAGCTGTTCTGGGCTAACTGTAGATGAAAAATCCCTAATGTACACAAAGACCAAAACCTAGTGATTTAATTTTGGCATTTTCAGGATGTTTTTTCCCCTCAGAGGTTTGGTTGAAACTACATGAAAAGCAAACAGAGCCAAAACTTGTTGTAAGTATTTGCATTCTGCCATTCTGCAACAGCAACTATGGGGAAATACAGTGCAGTGGTACCTTGGCTGTCGAACGGCTTAGTAGTCGAACATATCGGCTCCCAAATGCCGTAAACCCAGAAGTGAGTGTTCTGGTTTGTCAACATCTTTTGGAAGCCGAACATCCGACGCGGCGTTCGATTGAGTGCAGGAAGCTCCTGTAGCCAATTGGAAGCTGTGCCTTGGTTTTCGAACCATTCCAGGAGTCGTATGGACTCTTGGAATGGATTAAGCTCGAGAACCAAGTTACCACTGTATAAGTTACCATCCACTAAACCCCTTCACTGTTAGCACTAATCTACAAAACTAACTGCTGTGTTGGATCTGTAGCTGTATCACTTGCTCACCCTATGTAATTGAGTAAACTACTTTCAATTCCGGTTAGGACGCTGCCTTTTTCTTTGTCAAACCATTGGCCCTTCCAGATCATTACTGTTTATTCTGCCTGGCAGCGGCTCACCAGGGTTTCTGGTGGGGATCTCTCTCAGCCTGACCTGGAGATGCCAGGGATTGAACCTAGGACCTTCTGCATTGAAATCAGATGTTCTGCCATTGAGCTATGGCCCTTCTCCAGTTGCTTGCTGTGCATTGGTGTTCCCCCAACCTAACTCAGGTTGTTGGATGTCAGATTCTTGTGGATCCATGCCTTCTTCAGTCATAACTGATCAACGTAAATAGAAAGTTGACTCCATAACCAGCATTTAAAGCACCATTCAACAAATACTGTGAATGGGCCTTAATAATGTTTGTCTTGGGAGCTGATCTTATTGGCAAAACCTATTTGGTGTTTCGCAACTTTCCGACTAGTTGCAGGACCTTAGCCAGACCTAGCTAGCTCTCTCTGACACAACTCACAACTCCTACACTGACACAGAACTCTGAACACTGAACTCCAGAACTAATACATTACAATTAGTAGGCCATTAACTATCACTCCCTTGAGAGAGCTTGACCAATCAGGGAGCTTTCTTCATGCCTCTGTTATCACCAGGCAGACTTACTCCTTCACATGACCTTCTGGCTGTCTGCCAAACCTTAATTGACTCTGTGTGAGTAGCTGCAGGTACACAGTTTCCCAACAGATCTCACTTGGATTGCACTCTCCCCGGTGGGTGGAAAAATGCAAGCAATATGATGGCAGGAGTGAAGGTTTTGAATGCCTTGAATGCCTTTTTCAGAATAAGCAGTGCCGAACCCATGCAGCAAACTCTAAGAAAAAGGTCATCCAAACTTTATATTTGTTTAGAATATTTTGCATAGCACCGAGAGGGTTAAAAGGGAGCGTTTGCATTCGATTAGGTGTCTCAGCAGGTATAGACTCTCTGCCTTAACATCTGGGACAGAGGTTCTAAGTCACAGCTGAAATTTCAATTAACGTGAGTTTGCAGTTTCCAGCCGTGCCTCTAATGGATAATAGTTTGCATTAAACAGAACTAAACATAATTTAGCACATTTTGGTGCAGATGGCAATTGACATTGACGAGATGGCCACCTGGTGACTCTATTATTTTTCACTCCTAACGAAGGGCTCTGTAGGTCAGGCCTGTGATCACTGGCAGGGAAAGGCAGAGGATCTCACTCTGTAATTTTGTGTGACACCTGGCCTACCTAATTAAAGCGGGCCACTTTCTGCTCCAATAGCCCCCTTCACTCTGGTACAAAGAAAGCTCGTAAGAGATGTAGCTTGATTACTGCCAGCCCCTAATGAATTGTGTCCATGATGGAAATGGAAGGACAAAAGTTGTTTTCTGATATGAAAATTCCCCCACTGTGGGAGGGCTTTGCAATGATTCCCTGAGAGGAAGAGCTGTGAGGAGGAAGCAAGTAGATTTTATTGAATTTATTTATTTGCAATATTATATCCTTCCCTTCACTGGCAAACAGGCTCAGGGCAGGCCACAACAATGAAAATACCCCTCAAATGTACCATAAAGTCAAGCAAAAAAGCATTAAAAATGACTATATACAATCTGTCAGGGGTGCCATCTTGAAGAAAATATTTGGGGGTGACCAGGTAAACCCTGCCCCTCATAATCGATCACATGTCATGGCACACGTACACCATCTGAATGGCAATGCCCATCAGTTTTGCCCACCCACCTGAGCACTCCCAAATATTTTATTGGGTGGCTGAAGGGATCTCGGTCCCGAGACGTTAACTCCTAGGCTTAACTCTTTCTTAAGACAAAGCAGGTGGCTCCAGATGGCTACACATGTTCACCCTCCATCCCTAAGGCCTATAGAGGCAGAGGAAGGCCTTCAGCTGCCACTGAAAGCTAATTGGTTGTTGTGTCAGCCCCACCTCAGGGAGAAGGATATTCCACAGCCATGATGCCAGCACTGTGGAGGTCCAATCCTGAGTCCTGGCTCTATGGGCTCCCCTTGATGATGGGATGACAAGAAGGCTGTCCCTGGAGGATCTTAAATCACAGGCAGAAGAGTGCAAAAATAGGTGCACATTCTGATGTGCCAAGTCACCAAAGGCTTTATATGGCTACGCTAAAACCTTGAATCGGGCTTGGCAGAATGTAGGCAGCCCTTTGGAATTGGTGCTACGTGGTTCTGAGGGGCCAAGGTGGCCAACACTGTGGGTGCCACACTTTGCGCCGTTTTGCCATTCCCAAGGGCAGCCCCATGTGGACTGCAGTGAGGTAATCTAACCAGGACTTGAGCAAGGCTATCTCTGTCAAGGTATGGCAAGCCCGCCAGAACTCGGAAGTAGGCCACTGAGGCCACTTGGGCCTTAACGTGTAAAGTGGAATCCAGACTGCGGACATTTGCACATGGAGGGGTTTTGTACAAAATCCAGCTGGATTTTCCATTCTGACATGGTGCTTTCCAACTTGTTGTTTAGTCGTGTCTGGCTCTTCGTGACCCCGTGGACCAGAGCACGCCAGGCACTCCTGTCTTCCACTGCCTCCCACAGTTTGGTCAAACTCATGCTGGTAGCTTCGAGAACACTATCCAACCATCTCGTCCTCTGTCATCCCTTTCTCCTTGTGCCCTCCATCTTTCCCAACAGCAGGGTCTTTTCCAGGGAGTCTTCTCTTCTCATGAGGTGGCCAAAATATTGGAGTCTCAGCTTCAGGATCTGTTCTTCCAGTGAGCACTCAGGGCTAATTTCCTTCAGAATGGATAGGTTTGATCTTCTTGCAGTCCATGGGACTCTCAAGAGTCTCCTCCAGCACCATAATTCAAAAGCATCAATTCTTCGGCGATCAGCCTTCTTTATGGTCCAGCTCTCACTTCCATACATCACTACTGGGTTTTCCAACTACATATGTCCATAAGAATACCCTCAACAGAGTAGAAACCTGTACCACATCCAGCTAATCAAGGTGACCTCATGTTTCATCACCTTGTCTCTCTAGGAACACCGTTTTAATTATAAACAATTAATGAGGTAGTCGAGGGATCAATAAACAAATGCCTTTTGGGTACTCTGGACAGATGTAACTGTTAAAGTCATGCTCAAGATGAGCTTCGTTTTCAAGGAAAATGAATCCAGATTTATGTCACCAGCCATAAACTAGAAAGTGGATTTGGCTAATCAAACAAATTTATTCTAGTTTGAATATACTGTCATTCCTTTTGTGAGATTCATTAAATGGAAATTCTGACTTCTGGAATCTATATCATTGTTCTTTGTCTTAAGGGGATTAAACTCTGCTATAGATTATATTTCACTCAGATGTAGTGGATTAGTTGCAGTTTTTACCTTTTAATTAAACAGCTGCTGTAACGAAACGCAATTTTGAATAATTTAATAGCCCACAGTACTTTTGTCAACCCACACTGCTTGGATTTTTTAATTATATGAAGCCATACATTTTTTATGATGAAGGCTTTTCCTAAGATCAATCGACAGTCACTAATAATGTGTCCTTTCTAGATGTCTTAAAGCGTCTCACCATTGCTTGAAATGATTAAAACTAAATTAAAAGATGAGACTATCAAAGAAAAGATCAATGCTTTCTAAATTATGCATTGTAGGCTTTTGACAATATACATGTGTGTGCGTGTATTTAAATATATACTCTCATTAAAGCTTAAGAGTTTATATCTAACCCTTTCTACCTATGCAATTTATGTTAGCATTGTTTAAGAAAAGCAATACTGTAATGATATTAAAACAGATACATCCAGTTTTGTTTTAAGAAATCAAAGTATCAAAATGCCCAAGCTTCAAGTGTTGTGATAAATATGCGTTTTTGTGTTCTAATGCTATAAGATCTTGTACACTGAACACAAGAAATATTTCTTTGTTAATTTTTATAATCGGAAGCAATTCTATCAGTCAAGTATTTGTCATCAACATTAATTCATTTTCTGTAGCGAACAATAATTTCTCCTAGTTTAGGTTTGCCGAGAGCTGTGTTATGTCTCTTGTTATGTTCTTTTAACAGGAGAAGTTCCAGATCTCACAGTCCTGATCAAAACATCCTAACTCACTTTGTATATACAGTGAGACCTCGGGTTAAGAACTTAATTCGTTCTTGAGGTCTGTTCTTAACCTGAAACTGTTCTTAACCTGAAGCACCACTTTAGCTAATGGGACCTCCTGCTGCCGCCACGCCGCCGGAGCACGATTTCTGTTCTCATCCTGAAGCAAAGTTCTTAACCCGAGGTACTATTTCTGGGTTAGCCGAGTCTGTAACCTGAAGCGTCTGTAACCTGAAGCATCTGTAACCCGAGGTCCCACTGTATGGGTTCAGAGCTGGCTCTAGAGAGGCTGTGTTGTTGCTCTAAATGTCTGTGACTTAAACAGGGTCTGTCCGATTGTGCAGAACTGCTTGGGGGTGAGGGTGAAGCAGTATTCAACCTGACAGGTGTGTACCAGGATCCCTTGTTGTCCTGGAGGCTCCTCTGGGACAAGTCTTGCAGGATGAGTTGCAGGCAACCAAAAGTCTTGGGCTTCAACTGGCACAGAACATACATAATATGGCATGCTCTGACAATGTGTTAGTTGCAAATGTTCATGTGGAATGGACGCTGGGGGAGAACAATAAAAACCAGGAGAAGTAAAGGGACAGGAGCCTATTGCTTCATCACTCAAGGGGTATTCACACATTGCATTCAATGAGTGTGCAATCTGTGTACAGAATTGCAAATCAAAAGGTGTAACTCTTTCCCATAAGCAGTTGTAATGTGGGAGAAAGCCTCATGCCCACAAAGGGGCTGCCCCACAGGGCATGGCATAAGAGGAGCACTAGTCCCATTGCCTGACAATGAAGATGCACTTACTACTGTTGTGAGATTAAGAAGTAGGCATCAGCTGGAAGAAAAACTGGAAGTGTGTGTGATATGGGCAATTATGGGTCAATTCTGTGTCCAGGGCAGCTGTCTGCCAGCTCCATCTGGTATGCAGGTTGAGACCCTACCTACCTGCAGACTGCCTCACAAGAGTGGTGCATGCTCTGGTTATCTCCCACTTGGACTACTGCAATGCGCTCTATGTGGGGCTACCTTTGAAACTGCAGCTAACCCAGAATGCGGCAGCTAGACTGGTGATTGGGAGTGGCCACCAAGACCATACAACACTGTCCTGAAAGACCTACATTGGCTCCCAGTA